CTTTGCATTGCATCCTAGCAAGTAAATAGTTTTTAAATTCTAAATTTTTCATTATTTGCTTGTTTTGGTCGTGTTGTCATCAATCACTAAAAAGGGGAAGATTGTAAGAAAAATGGACCCTAGGCCTATTTACTTTGGATTTTGGTGTTTGATGACCAACACAACTAAATTAGACTAATAAATTTGTAAGTGTTTGTTTTGTAGTTTAATAGGATGCAAAACGTGATTTGGACGAAGGCGACGTGATGATCCGATGATCAACACCTCAAGAAAGACATGTGAAGATGCATAGAAGACATACAAGGTCAAACAAAGTTCAAGTACGATGATTGGAACCAAGCCGGACATAAGATCGCGAAGAAACGAGCCCAGCAAAGGTGACCGGACACGGCCCTATCAGTGGTCGGACGCACCAATCAGGTGCCAGGCAATAGAAGACGTCGGTAGCTGTGACCGGACGCTGAGCAAAGCAGTGACCGGACACACCGGTGACACTGTTCATTGTCATGGCAGTGTTTTCAGCGTGACCGGACGCAGCACACTGGACGACCGGATGCACGAAGTGCAGCGTTCGATCATTTCCAGAGAGGTTCCAGAGCGGCACCAACGCGACCGGACGCATCCGATCAATGATGATCGGACTCTGAGCTGAGTCTGATCAACGCGCACGCTCCAACGGTCGGTGAGACGTTATCAGCGTCATGTCAGTAGCAGAAAAGTGGGTTTTCGTCTGGTCAGGACGTGATCATCGTCCGGTCAGGATGTGATCAGCGTCCGGTCAGTAGCAGAAAAGTAGGTTTTCATCCCCAACGGCTACTTTCTCAGTGGGGCTTATAAATAGACCCCAACCGGTCATTTGACATATGTGGAGCTGAGGAAACATATCAAGGATGTTGATACACCATTTTAGTGATCTTCACTTGCATAATGCTTAGTGGTTCATTAGCTGATTAGCATAGGTACTTTGCGAAGTGCTTAGGCTGATTAGACCACCGCTTATGCGCTTGCTTTAGGTTTAGGCCTAGTGTTTAGTGAGATTTGCATACCTCTTACCACTCGGTGCTTGCACGCACTATTGTTGTACATCGGATGGGCTTGTAGTCTTGCGAGATCACACCAACCGCGTTTGTGGTGTGGCCGCCACCGTGTACCGAAGGGAACAAGGCCCGCGGCAGTTTGGCTGAAAGCTTGATAGTGAAGACGGCGGGAGCGGTCCGGGAGAGGCTTGCCGGAAGGCACACCGGAGACCCACTTGCGCGTGGGGAAGGCCCGGGGCTATCCACGAAGTTACCCAGCTGGAAGCTTGGCCCTTGCGAGGGATTCCTTGCGAGGGGCTCCAACGAGGACTAGGGGAAACTTGCGCGCTTCTCGATACCTCGGTAAAAATACCAGAGTCGTCAACGGGAGTTTGCATATCTCTACCTTACTCTTTAGTTTCCGTATTTACATTGTTTGCATAACTCCTTTTACGGTAGAGATAGCAACACAACCGTAGTTCCACGTTTAGATAGTTTTTTCTTTTGTATAGGTTTTGCTAAGAATAGAAAAAGATGTCATAGCTTTGAGTTAGAGTTTTAAGTTGCCTAATTCACCCCCTCTTAAACGTCACGGTCCCCTTTCACTTGTCATCGCCAAGCTCATCGAGACCAAGCACGCCACGAGACCAAGTTCGTTGCGACCAAGATCGTGCTCGCGTCTCACAACTTGCCCTCCTCTTCCTCTACCGAGTTGGGAGCTAGAGTTGTCGTGGGAGCTCTACTAAATGACTCCGCTTCGAGTTTGGAGCAGAAGGGAGCAGGAGCGCCGTGGGGGAGTGGGATTGGGAGTTGGTTCGAGTGCAAGTGCATTGGGAGCTCTGCCAAACTGGCCTAAAATGCACCATCAATTTTTGAATTTGGTTAGCACCATGCCCAGGAAAGTGAAGTGAGAGAGAGAGAGAACACGGATGGGCATGGCTTTCAGTTTCATTAGTGTCATCGTCCACCTCTCCCTTTCAGACATATTCTTATGTTGGTTCAGGTTGGAGAACAAAGAACCACGATCCGTTGCCATTTGCTTTTGCAAGCGAGAGTGCTTAGGTATATATACTAGAGAAGGTTGTTTGGATGAAAACGTGAAAAAAGATAGGGCTCCCAGATGTCAGATTTTGAACGTTTGGAGTTAGGATCGGTATTGTCTGGAAGACTTCTATCCAAACAAGTCCTAGATCTTAAAAGGGATGTGAACTGAGCTTATAGCCCAATACAACATATGTGCATGCATGACTAGCCAGAGGACTGTGATCACCATGACTTTCAGTACATGTGAAACCAAGCTTCACTTCTCCCATCAAAATTATGTTGTCGCCAATGTACAGGTCAAAGTGCTTAAATGCAGGGCAGTACTATTAGCATGTCTCTGCATCTAGGTTCAGAGGTGAACCTTCGATTTCAGGTCCTGTTCCAATTTAGCACACTGCATGTTTTTTTTCCCTTGACGGGTAGAGGAGGTCCCAAGTTGACAAGTACGGAAGAATCATTAGCCACACATCATTAGTACTTTAGTAGACTATACATAAATTCGATGCTCGGCCATCACCAGTCCGTCACGTCTTTCTGAGATGCAAGAATTTCATAATTTTTTTTTCATAATTCTATATCTAATGTTTTTTTGAGCTAAAATTGCAGGTAAGAAAAATGAAATAAAAATAAGCTAAGACGGTGAACAAGGAGGCCAATTGCACGCTACAATTGTCTCGCAACAAAAACAAAAGAAAAAAAAAAGACCATACACTTCCATCACCAGTCGTTAAATCGATATCCGTTTTTTACGCTTCTTGGTAACTTCCTGAACCATCAACTCGCACATGCATATCGCCTTTTTTGACCACTGAATTTGGCCAGTAGTTCCTGGCAGCTTCCGCTTTTGTTTTGAGCGCTCTCGGGAGCAAACACAGGAGACGACTTCTTCCTTTTCCCAATGCACTACTGCTTAATCTCTCTTCCTCCCAAAAAAAATTGACACAAGTTGAGCCCCTATACATTGTCTAAGGGTGTGTTTGAGCATGAGCTTCTCCAGAGAAGTCAACATCAAAGCCATTTCTAAAACGGCTCCGGCTTTTCTTTAATTGAAAAATGGCTCCAAATAACTCTCCCTACCAAAACGTTTGGCAAGGTTGCTCTAGAGGAGTTAGAGCTAGAACAAAAGAGGAGCCATACCAAATGGGACCTAACTGCAAATTTTTCCTCACATTTTAGGTCCAATTCATCCGTATGTTAATTTTCCAGCTGCTTTTCCATCATGTACGATTATTCTCCATAATATTGATCACTCTTAACTTGATAAAAAGAGATAGTGTACCACCGCAAGAGACTTACTTAAGAGCCTTCACATTAATCTTATCTCTACCTAATACTAAAAAGAGAAACATTTCTTGACCCGTCATCACTCACAAGTCAGACTCATTTTAAAGCCTCCACATTAATCTCTATCTCCACCTAATATTAAAAAGAGAGTTAGAACCGTCTGACGGGGATCCGGCAGACCCAATCTCTCCTATGCACATACAAGTTAGAGTAGCGTGTCCAAGCAACGCTCCATTTTCTAAATGATTTGGAATAATGACTACTGTATTAAGTGTTTGCATAGTTTAACTCTCTCTTTCTCTCTCTCATGCCTGTATAAAACACATAGAACATATAATCACATAAATATCCAATTCTTCGGCTTATCATAATTTTAATAGAATATTTTACCGCTGTTTTTCTAAAATAATAACGTCTCAACGCACCACATTATTATATATTGATAGTTTGAAGGAAAAAAAAACTCCATTCTACCATGCCCCTTAAAACCAACGGTTTGCACTGGGGTGCACTGTACTGTACACATCACCAGGTTCATTTCATTCCTCAATCATTCCCGACACCTTGTACCGTGACCCATCAATTTGGTGGTACCACTTGCCGCTCCATGTCATGCTCATGCACACGGCTTTGAGAACGAAGCGGTAAAGCCATATTCTCTTCCGCTGTCTCATCCTAAAAGCCAAGTTTAGTTGGGCAAAACAATTTGTTAGCGTATGTATGGTACCCAGAAATTTACTCGTGCTCATTCGTCAGGTTTGAACTGTAAGTGTAGTTAACTTTTGCAGTATTTATGTCAAGTAGAGTTTGAGGGCCTTCTTACCCATAAATAAATAAACGAATGCCTCTAGGGTGATCACGAGAAGTCTTGCTTAGAATACTAGTAATAGCCAGTGTAGACATTGGATCTCAGCAAGATGCTGAAGCATTCATTTACAGCTACACTCAGCGTGCGTCACTGACTTCTAGACGGCATGCAATTTACCTAACCCTCTTTCTTTGCGAAAAGAACAAACAATTGCTTTCGCATTCAGACGTGAAGGAGTGACCAATGGTTCCACTCTCATCATCTCAACTCCCAGGTCAAGTCAAGCTATAAACAAAGCCAAAAGAACCAAAATGAGAAGAGCAGTTTAATAAGTCAGGATTGCACAAGCTGCTCATGGCAATATGAAAAATTCCATGTGCACCTACACACTAAATATCTTATTACAGTTGTTTATCCGCGCCAGTCGGCACCCTGTGCAGCTGTGCTTTTCGCTAACCAAAAAAAAAAAAAAAAAAAATCTGTGGATGGACATGGACTAAAATCTAAATCTGGGGACAAAGGGCCGGTCACTGTCTTGAATTGCAGAAGCAACAGACTCAGCTCATCGATTTGCCTGCCCATCAATATCTCCTCTCTCCCTCTCCCCCTGCGGTATACCCTGTCTGCCGTATCATCTGTGGAGCAAATAAAGGGCACGGAGGAGTTCTTGTGGCCTAGTACAGCTTCTCCTCCTCCCACACTACCTGTGCCTTTAACTCTTGTTTGTTAGCGGCTAATTTCAGAGCTTCTGTTGGGAACTGGGGGGACCATTTAGATTTAGCGCGGGGGTTTCCTCGTCCCCCTCTTTCCATGGGAGCTTGGAAGCTGCTGGATTTCTGCAAGTGACCATGAGCCAGAGTGAGTCCCTTTTCTTGCGATTTCTCATCGTTTATTTGGTGATTCTTGATTGCCGTGGCCAAGGCGTCATCTTTATTACTTCCTGGGAGTTGACCGAGTAGGTAGGGCGATCAGAGCAGCGGTTCTTGTTTCTTGGCCGTGGCTCTTAATTGCTTCTGATGCTGTTAAGTGGATGCATTTTTTCCCCTGATTAAGAGAAAAGAAACATCGGATTCTTTTGAGCCCTTCTGTTTCTGCAGTGAATGATGGAATAGGGTGTTTGTCAGATTCTTTTTTTTAGCTCATGTTTCCAGTCCGTCGACTCTAGCTCGAATGTATCGTTGAGCTTTTGGTACAACTGCAACGGATGGGATGTTCGTACAAGCTTTTGGAAGCATAAATATGCCTTTTTGTACAGGATTATCTTGTGTTAATATTTCATTGACCCTATTTTGCACCGTGTAAAGATGCAAATCTTGGCAAGGTTCATGGCTTATTTTGGGGTTTTGACCCTCCTGAGATCAGTACATTTCTTAGACGAGCTTGAAAAGATTGGGATTTTTTTTTTCTTTTCAATAACTTTATACGATATCTTTCATATTGAGGAGAGAATGATTTCTTCAACTAATCATATCCCATGATGAGATTCATGTTAGTGTTACGACTTTATTGTGGTCCTATGGGGTTTGATAGAAAATTAACTAATGCCACACCTTATCCGCTTATCCTTCGGTACTCTCTTTGGCTGTAGGTTTTGACATCAACGTACTTCGTGAAGAAGCAAGGACTAGGTGGTTAAAGCCTTCTGAAGTGTACTATATATTGCAGAATCACGAGAGGTTCCCGATAACCCATGAGGCACCAAAGAAGCCACCCAGTAAAGCACATATATCCCTTAATTAGAGGAATTATCTTACTTGTATAATAATTGTGCTTTTCTTTAACAGCACATTTGATTGTTCTACAGGTGGTTCCCTATTCCTTTACAATCGTCGTGTCAATCGGTATTTCCGGAGAGATGGTCACACATGGCGGAGGAAGAAGGATGGAAGAACTGTTGGGGAGGCTCATGAACGACTGAAGGTTTATTTCAGAAGGCTCAGTATAGCACCAAATCATTCCAGTTTTTTCCATATTTTTATCTGCATATTCTAGTTCAATGGTGGTTTTTAAACTTTTGTTTCAATATTACAAAACTCACTTTTTGGGGCAAATCATTCCAGTTGTTTCCATATTTTTATCTGCATAAATTTTAGAAGTCGATTATTGATCAGTGTCCTCTGTCTCATATCTGACATTTTCTCAACATTGCAGGTTGGAAATGTTGATTCTTTGAGCTGCTATTACGCTCATGGGGAGCAAAATCCATGTTTCCAGAGACGGTGTTTCTGGATGTTGGAACCGTAAGATTATCTTTCCATTCAGTTAGCTCGAATCTGTGAAATTGTGATCTATGGCCCATCTAAGTTGTATGCGATAATTGTAGTCACAATTGTGCTGAATTACTGTGTAATTTGTTACTTAAGTATACATTGAATTGTTTCTGAACATCTGTCCTTGAGAAACAAAAACAGTGGTTACAACTTTCAAGTTTATTGATTCGTATTCTCTACTTTTGCAGTGCATATGAACACATTGTGCTGGTACAATATAGAGAGGTTGCTGAGGTATGTAATATTAACATTGCCTTGTTATGCTTTCATGTATTTTTTTCTGGTGTTGTTTGACATGATCATCGGCTCTGCAAATAAAATACTGACAGGACTGACTCAGATGACCTATTGAGTTATCGATAGACAAAATTCCAATTGCTATAATCCGATCATGCCTTTCATGTTTTATCCTTTACAGAGAATATTTTCTTGCTATGCCAAAAAATTGTGAAAATTTGAAACTAACTTTTTAGTGAATTAGAAAATCCCATTCCCTTATAATAAGATATTCTTTGGTTTTATTACTTATTTAAAATACATGAGCTCTTTCTGTAACTAATGATGTTTGTGCAATTGCTTCTTTCATCTCCCAGGGCAGATATTATTCATCACAACTGTTGAATGGCCCCCCAGAACCTCTTTCATCCTTGGGATATCCAAATGCCATCTGTGGAAACCAATACCACAGCTCCACTTCTGGCACTAGTGAGGGCAGTGAGTCCCATCAGAGCTATTCTAATTTGAGTTCTGTAACTGAAGTAAGTTCCTATTCCAGTAACAAAGAGTATAACAAAAATGATGGCGGTTTACTAAGCATACCAGAGGTTGGACACACTTGTCTGCAACAAAATCGGACCGATAATGGTAACTTGCAAAATAAATCTGGGCTTAATATGGCTTTAAAGAAGATAGCTGAGCAGTTAAGTTTGGGTGAAGGTGATGATGATGACTATATTTACTCAAATCAAGCTCATTCCGTGGGAGGTAAGACTAGAAAATGTTTTTGTTTATTCCTGCATTTCTTTTTAGGTCCATAGGAGGTAAAATTCAAAAATATTTTATGCACGCAGTTGTATGTAAAAGGCTAACTGAAAGGCTTATAGTTGTTTCATGCTAGTTGTTTTATTTTTCTTGCAGGAGCACGCTAGTTGTACATAAGAGAATTATTTTTTGAAAGGATGTCATGTTCACAGGCTTGTTATATCTGTAACTTAGGAAAACTTTATAATAGCTGAATTTGAAGTATTTACTTTTGTACTGGAGTGAACTCTGTCAGGATTAGGATGGTGCCGATTTTTTGTGTAGTTAAAGTTTCCTTTTTTTTTCTTTTCCCTACGAGGCCAATTGCAACCTGTCCTGTGATAGTATGATGTGCAGGGCCAAATTTGCTTTTATTATATCTATGATTATATCAATACATTTTTTTTTTTCAAACCAGTGTGAGCTTTTGTTTTGAACACATGCCTTGCTAGATATTTAAAATCTCACCATGCAATCATCTGCTATTAGAAAAACGTTTTTGATGCACAAGTGAAGCGCCTACTTGTGGCCTTCTGGCACACGTATATACGAAGCATCATGCTGTTAGGTGTCGAACTAACTGACAGTTCAATTTTTGTTAACAAAGTGAAATCAAATTGGTTTTCCTGCCTTATTCAGGTGAAAACCAAGTAAAACAAATTCGACAAGAAGGAACACAGAAAGGTTTAAGTAGGAATATAGCACCATCATGGGAAGATGTACTGCACTCCAGTTCAGGTTTACCAACTTCATCCATATACCAGGTGAGGAAATTGTAACTTGGGATTCTTCTTCCTTGTAGAACACATAAAACTGATGCAGTGATGCATGTGGAATTGTGAAAACAATCTTTGATAGTCTTTTGAAAGATTCTTAGGTGGGATGCCTTGAAGTGTTCCTCATTCAATATATTTTTTCAACATGATGCATGTGGAATTGTGAAAACAATCTTTGATAGTCTTTTGAAAGATTATTAGGTGGGATGCCTTGAAGTGTTCCTCATTCAATATATTTTTTCAACATTTTAACTTTCACTACTCTTTAGGAAAATTTGAAGTTGACATGCATTTGATATTTGTTATGGATTTGGTGTTTGAAGATAATCTTTTATAGTACATTTAACAAAATGTACTTAAATGTCTTTTATTTTGAACACGAACCGTGGGGAAAAAAAAGACATTTAAGTACATTTTGTTAAATGTACTATAAAAGATTATCTTCAAACACCAAATCCATAACAAATATCTTGTCCTCTCCATATCAAAATTATACCCCTTGTGTTCAATTGTTCATAAATACCATTGCATGCTTATACTCTCACTGAGCTGTATCAATGACTTGCGTTTTTGCACAGCAATCGGATGTCGAGTATCAGAAAAATTCAGAATACCATCCACCAGAACGCCTGGACAGCAGTGATTTGCGCATACAACTTTCTGCTGCTAAAAGGTTTCTTTTAGGACCAGAGGCCACCATTGACTCACCATCTTTGAACTCTGTGCTGAGAAACAGGGTGAACTGTGTAACTGATACCATTTCAGCTTATGACAGTAGATTTGAAAGCTCTCTGAACCCAGATTGGCAAACAAAAACAGCATTAACATTTCAAAGCAATTCTCAGGACTCTGAAATAGCGGAGTTGTTTGACCATGGTCATTTTGAACCCTACTCCAGAGAAGATACAACATTTGCCTTAGGACAGACAAACAAGTTTAGCATTCGTGAGATCTCTCCAGAATGGGCATTTTCCTATGAGATCACCAAGGTAAATGGTGAAGTTTTTGCTTTTTTACATCATAACACCAAATGTTCTCATTTACAGATGCTCTTCTCACCATCTCATTTATTCAGGTCATCATTACGGGAGATTTTCTATGTGATCCATCAAATTTGTGTTGGGCCGTGATGTTTGGTGACAGTGAGGTACCTGTTGAAATAGTTCAGCCAGGTGTTCTCCGCTGCTACACACCACTGCACAGCAGTGGAAATCTCAGAATCTGCATTACTTCGGGAAACAGAGAAGTTTGCAGTGAATTCAAAGACTTTGAGTTCCGCTCAAAACCAACCTCTTCTGGTTTCACAGACATTGCACCATCTTCTAGACATCTGAACTCCAGTGAAGAGTTGTTACTTCTTGCAAAATTTGCTAGAATGCTTTTGTCTGGGAATGGAAGCCCTGAAGTTCCAGATGGTGATCCCCAATCTGGACAGTGTCCAAAACTTAAGATGAATGAAGAGCTCTGGGATAGGTTGATTGACGAACTCAAAGTAGGGTGCGAAAATCCATTAAACTCAGTTGATTGGATTTTGGAGGAACTGCTGAAAAGTAAATTACAGCAGTGGTTATCAGTGAAGCTCAGAGGATTCAATGGAACGGATTCTCTATCCAAGCATGAGCAGGGTATTATACACTTAATCTCTGCCCTAGGCTATGAGTGGGCATTGTCGTCAGTTCTCAGTGCTGGTGTTGGTCTAAATTTTCGTGATTCAAATGGTTGGACTGCTCTTCATTGGGCTGCTTATTTTGGAAGGTAATCAAAGTTTATATTGTAGAGCTGGTACAAGTCCATTTTTTCTTGCTACATTTTCTCCATAGCAATTTTCATGGACAGAACAGAATAGTTGCAAAGAAAGGCATCCTTTTGTTCACTCAAGATATGATTTTCGTATACCATTGTGCTGTTAACTTGGTTACCAAGCAACTGCCAGTTAAAAAAATTTAGAGCCACATAAAGTAGGTATGATTCTTAAATTAAATAGGAAAAAATATAAATTTTAATCAACGAGCTGTTTCATTCTGGTAAAATCAAGTATTTTGGGCTACCTTGCTAGCTTGGTAATTAGGTAATAGCCAATCCAAGAACCTGGAAACAATAACAGTAACAATGGTTACAGTACATAAAAGATCTACATGGTCATTCACATTATGTTTTGGACTAGTACTGGAGTCAATTGTGCAATGCATATATCAACATAGTTCTTTTCTTGTGAAATGGTAGTGTTCTATTACAGCTTTTCTTTCTTTGTAATTGTCTTTTCAAGTGTTGGTACACAGCGCTATTGATTAGCTTGGAACTAGCAAGCTAACAATATGATTCCCAAAAAAAAAAAACCAAGCTAACAATATGTTGATTTTATTGCAGGGAAAAGATGGTTGCTGCACTCCTTGCTGCTGGTGCATCGGCAACAGCAGTTACTGATCCCACTGCACAAGACCCAGTGGGTAAAACAGCAGCTTTCCTGGCTTCTGAACGAGGGCATACGGGCCTTGCAGGCTATCTTTCAGAAGTGTCGCTAACTAGCTATCTTGCATCACTCACTATAGAAGAAAGTGATGTCTCAAAAGGATCAGCTAAAGTTGAAGCAGAGAGAGCTGTGGAAAGCATATCTCAGAGGAGTGCCCAACTGCATGGTGGCACAGAAGATGAGCTCTCAATGAAGGATTCTTTGGCAGCAGTGAGGAATGCAGCTCAAGCAGCAGCTCGCATCCAGAATGCTTTCCGTGCCTTTTCTTTTATGAAGAGACAGCAGAAGACTGCTCGACTTAGGGATGAATATGGAATGACCCAAGAGGATATAGATGAACTTGCAGCTGCATCAAGGTTGTACCACCAAGCTCATGCTTCGAGTGGTCAGTTTTATGATAAAGCAGCTGTTTCAATTCAGAAGAAATACAAAGGTTGGAAAGGCCGCAAACATTTTCTCAACATGAGAAGAAATGCAGTTAAAATACAGGTAAGGGGAATAGGTATCCAGATTGTTTTTATTTGGTAGCCTCCTTCAAGTTGAATTCATGGGCATATAAATACATATATGGTATCTGGCAAGTTGATTTGTGCTTTGTTCACGCTAAAGGTCTCTCTTTGTACAGGCTCATGTAAGAGGCCATCAAGTGAGAAAGAAATACAGAACAATTGTAAGCACTGTCAGTGTGCTAGAGAAAGTAATTCTTAGGTGGCGCCGGAAAGGTCGTGGCCTACGTGGTTTCCGAGCTGAGCAGCAACCAATGGTCGAAGCAATAGAGGAAGATGATGAGGAAGGTGATGACTTCGATGATGATGAAGCAGTCAAGGTCTTCCGTCAGCAGAAGGTCGATCAAGCTGTAAAGGAGGCTGTGTCAAGAGTGATGTCCATGGTAGACTCTACCGAAGCAAGGATGCAATATCGACGAATGCTTGAGGAGTTTCGCCAGGCAACTGTAAGAAGTTTTTTTCCTCTTAATGTGCAATATCATTTCAATAAAGGAGGGCAGCTGTAAGAAGTTACCAATAAACTAAACAAGTTAAGCAAATTTCTCATCATAGGTCATGTTGCTGAAGGAAACTAGTTCAGAGTACTTGAAAGCAAATTTAGGACAAACTTGCTTGAGTCACAACTGAAGTCTGCAGACGATCGAGGCATTACTCTCTTTTTTAGGAGACATGTACAGCAACGATAGGTTAATCAGTTTAAATCTCAATGCGATACACATATAAACATAATTTAGAGAATCCAGAAGAGCCACTAAATTCATGTATTTTTGCCCTCTTTTTTATCAATTCAAATCTCCATGTTATGGCTAATCAAATGCTTGTTGTAAATGCAGGCAGAATTGGAAGGATCAAATGAAGTAACATCGATATTTGACACTGACTTAGAGTTATTAGGGATCAACAACTTCATGTAAGGAGCATTTCGGTTTCGAGATCTGCCAGCACCCAGCAATGACATAAATTAAGTATTTAGGGAATGGATTCCACTTGCTACTAACTAGGACCTGATGGCCGTCAGTTTGTACAGTGTTTACGAAATGGAGAGTAGATTATTGCTGCCACGATGTATTTTCACTCCCTATATTCAGGTGTATTTTCGCAGTGGCAGTTCAATGAACACTATATTTAGGTGTCTGACTTTAAGGAATGTCTTTTTATAGGTTGTTGACTTTGCCAGTTTGGAAAATCAGTTTCTCAACGAATATACGTGCATCCTTCATAATGCTGTTAAAACTAATACAGCGTACCACTCATGTCATACGGTGGCTCCTAATCTGACTTGTTTTTTTTTATCATGTTGTACTTGTAAAATATTGTTTCCCAAGGCTTGTATATAAACGATAGATCAACTGAAGTATTCCTTTCATCATTCAAGCAAATATAATCATTGTACTAAGTCATTATATGACTGGCAAACGCAACTTCAGACTGTTAAACGCACATTGCAATCTTTCTTCCTTTTCAGTTAACAGGAATAATGTGCATTGCATGTGAAAAGCCAAATATCATTCCAGATTGTTTTTCCCAAGAGAAAGTTCCTATAAGATTCAGGATTCGCAAAACATTACAGGAATTTGCGAAAATTCACACAAGTTTCAAAAGGAAACCCGTATCTACAGTCGTGTCCAAAATAACATTCATGTCCAACATATTACATCCTATCTGCATTTGCGTCGATGTCCAACACATTTTTAGTTGGTATAGAGAGGAAAACTTTTTCTTTTCCGTGCAGCCCAGTCATATCCCATCTATTTCTCCCTTCCATGTGGTCAGTTACCCAACATGCACAATATGCCTTTATGTAGGGTCTCTAACTTGGCACTTCACACTGAGCAAGGGCTCTGCCACATTGCTACGTCAGTTATTAGGTCACGGAGCTGATCCATGAGGAGCTTTACTTGCTTGTTTTTGCTTTCAATCTCCTGCATTAGATCTCAATGTTAGAAAGATACGAATTATCTGTCAAATGTGTTAAATTAGTGTGATAAAAGAAACTGTATATCAGAAGTTGACAAAAATCATGTTTCTTTTGATTTCTAAATACAGCAGATCCTACCATAGATGAAATCCAAAACTAAATTGATAGTGACACATGGGACTGTACTCTTCGAATCACGACAAAGATTGAAAAAATGCTGGGAGTTTTTAGAAACCAGAGATGCAATACAAAATCTGAAAAAAAGTCCTTGTGCATTAAAAACAAACACAAAAACAGTAAATAAATCATGCAGATGGTGCAAAATGCTCATATTTTTACACCTCCATGCAGACAAGGATAGAAAAACAGTAGTTCCTCACTCTGTTCTTAACTACTTATGAATAGACATACAAGGACTTGCTGCCTGAAGCTAACAGGAAGCCATGGCTTGGATTGCAAATGGGCAAATATAATTCATACAGATGTCCAAACTTTGAGAGTAATATAATATAGTAGAATAGATTAAACTAACTAGAGAATCTACAGGCTAGTACCTTTCTCAAAGCAGAAGCGTGCTCTTCCAATCTCTCAATCTCAGCATGGTCAGCTTCGGATTCTGTTGATCCAATGTCCTGACAAAGTGAGCATGCATGATCTTAGAGAAGTCATATGTGGGAGGGATAAGCAGCCTAGATCAATTTCAACTAGCATTGGCAAACCAAATTTATCTTGAACAGTGTGCAAAAATCAGGCTTGACCAATTACGACTATGATGGGATAATATTAACCTTCTTTCCTTTAAGGTAAGGTAAACAGTCTTTTACATATGACGTGAAACACAAGTTCTGGTTAACTAAAATCCATGTTTGTTGCTATTTACCAGTTGGATTTGTCCTTAATAATTACTCCCTTTGTCCATTTTCTTAGGCGCCTTTCGCTTCTCCCTTTGTCCAGAAGCCATCAGCATATTAGTTCTCCCCAGGCACGTTTTTAAATTTTGGTCAATAGTACACCTGTGCATTTTCCCCAGACCCCGCACAGAGCGAGAGCTCTCTGCACTGGTACGCCCTTTAGTACACCTGTGCATTTGACATGCATGAAAGCAGCAGACTCCTAAGTTGGGCCAGTGGGAAGAAGTCAATCCTAGGTCGCCAATGATGTTCTTTTTAGCAAGGCAAGATTGTTTTCTAAAAAGAAGTAATGTCTAACATAGCACCACATACTTCAGAAGTTCACATCAATATTTCATCTTTATAATTGTGCCACAATATGGATCTATCGATGGAAATAAAAAATTGTCAGCTTTTGAAATGAAAATTTGTTAGCTCCCTCCACACCAATGACCACTATGGCATTACAGGAGCTGGAGTTGTTACCATTGCAAATATCTCAAATCAGTCTCGTAATAAGAATTTGCTTTGGCTCCCCTACATGGCAATGCCCTGATTTTTGTTTTATACCACAAGTGCTATCTTTCATCACAGAAGAATGCGCCTAAAACACTTCTCCGCATAAGCGCCAGGAGCATAAGGTGCATCAAGGTCTCACCTGAGCGCAGGACGACACGGCAGAGATGGAGGCCCGCAGCGCCGCCACGGCTGACTTGTAGCGGTGCCTCGCCTCGTCGAGCGATCCGCCGGGGCCGGGCGCGCCCCCTGCGTCGGCGGCGTCGGAATCCGCAGAGTGTGGCGGCGGCGGCGGAGTAGCAGAGTGTTGGTGCTGGGAGCCAGCGGCAGCGGCAGCGGCGGCGGCGGCGGCGGCCGAGACGGAATAGGAGGACCAGAGGCCGGCGTTGCAGAGCTCGTCGTTCATGGATACGAGGATCTGGAACGCGGCTGCGATGGTCTCCTCCAGGTGCCGTTGCCCCTCCACCGCCATCTCCTGCCGCCGCCGCGCCGCCTCGGACGCCATTGAGTGCACTCTCCGGAACCCTAGCTCGCCGCTACCGCCGATCTACCGCTCCTCTCAGCTCAGTCGTAGCGCGCCGAGAAAATCCCTTTCCGGACCAGTCCTACAGAGCAAGCAGCCAAACTTCACTACCGGCGGTATGGGCCTGGCCACTGTTGCGTGATGCCATAGCGTGTTCCGAGCCCAGTATGGGCCGATACAGGTCGCCGAAGCCCATGTACTCTCTTCCTGGACGGACCAGATCCAGCTGCTACTATGCAATTGCTCAAAAAAAAAAAAACTGCTACTATGCAAGCTCCATTACATACAAACTTATAATTCCCTCAAAAAAAAACATACAAACTTATATAAAGTAGTTTGATTTAGGATTTTTTAATTTTTCAAAAATATTTAAACAATCTACCCTAAAATTACTCTTGTGGTTGTCTTAGTTCATGTGATGTAACAAAACACATGCATAGCATGGTAAAACTGCCACGGTGATGAAGGATGCCAACGAGACATGATCCTACCGTGTGAGAGAGGACGATGCAGCCACTCCCTTATGCCGTGCTAGAGGGATTGGTGCGGCACAGCCGCCACCAACCTTTAAATAAAATTAGTAATTACACTTCAAATTCTATAAAACTCAACATGTGCGCTATATAAAAGTGTAAGCGTTCTATCGTAGTGACGTGCACAAGTCTAAGTGCTACAAATTTTGAAATATACAATTTCAAAATATGTTATATGCTATTGATAAGACGAGTCACTTAGCTTTGAAAATTTTAGTAATGGTTTTCACTCTCCAAACCACTAAATAGATTAGAAGCGCCACCCAACTTCAATGAAAAACTAACAGAGATAACAAATAAGAACTATAGATTCCATTTGGATAACATGCACATTGCCAATTTATTATACCTTTATAAAATATTTGATTCTCCAAATAGACTCACTATTGAGAAATCAGTGCCCAACCTAGACTCCAATTTCTTGAGATGTTAGCTAGAACTGTGCACACACATTATGAAATTGCAATCGAGAAACAATAACAAAGATAAATTTTTTAATGGACCTTTTGAGAAGAACTTAGTTAGGTATGGCTTAAAAAATGCTCAAAAGCATTGCATGAGATACATTTGATGCCTCAATGCATGAGGAGTGAAAAAGGTCATTTTCCCAGTTAACATCGTTACTAGGAATGCAAGGTGGGTTATTCACGAAGCCACAAATAGGCTATTTTCTATGCATTATGAAAATAACCCACAAAATTAAGCCTATTTAATTTGTGGGTTTGTGAACAATTTGCCTTGCATCCCAAATGGTACCTTCAAAAACTAATAACATGATAGGCAAAAAAAAGAACCTAGGTTCAAATAGGCAAGGAAAAAAATTGAGGTCAACAAACAAGGAATCTAATAAAACTCCAGGGCCAAATAAGGAATTCTCTGTTATAGACTCTACATCATCTTTGAAGCTGTCTCCAACCAAAATGCAACATGCTTCTATTCTCTTTCCAAACTGAAATATGATGTTCACCCTAACCGCACAGAGGAAAGAAACATAAGTAGCACGAAAAGTTGATAAGAAATACGATAATCAATGACTACTGCACTGGCACATGGGTTGGTTGTCGCCACAATACCCTATTGTCTAGGTGCGCAGATGAGTGCCACTGCACTCGAAGGTCTAGGGTTTAGGGAGAGATGAGATGGGAGGAAAAAACATACAAGAGAGACAAGAGAGGAGACTCAGCACTCATACCTCAGTTGAGAAGCCACGGCTCATACAAAGAAGGGAATTTTGGTCTGTTCATTCATGATTTGATAAGGAAGTTAAGACAGAGGTGGACAAATGTCACGATAAAGCTATGTTACTTAGAGCAACACCAAGCGCCTCTTTATATACATCCTTTTCAATAGGAGAAAATTCCTTATTTAGCATCAAAACATGACATTGGGTTTTGATTTTGGTTCCCTATATAGCAATGTCGTTAGATGTGGCCTCTAACAATGTCATTAGATGTGGCCTCTAACGCTGTCAACTGTGAGGGGAAAAGAACATTTTGCCCTGGTTTCATGTGTAGCTCATCAACATGTTAACACTAATATTTTATTGTATAGATTTTTTTTGACAATACCATTTCATTACATTGAACATTATTTTGACAATGTATTTTTTTGGCAGTACAATTTTTTGCGTAGATTTTTTATGGCGGTACAATTTTTTTGTAACATCTCAGATGTTTAAAAGCAATTAAAACTTAATCATGAGCATCATCAAGCATAATCACCGAGCATCATGTCATTAATGCATTTATGTTTCAATAATAGCATGTCCATGTTGCATATGTGATGTTTCATATGTTGCATTGTAGTGTTTCATATGTTGTTTATAATATGTTTCATATGTTACATGAAATGATGTCAATTCTAATGATTAAGAAATTTTGTGAATTTATATATGTGAATTTGCTTAAATAAGTAAAATTCTTTTAAAATAAACTTTATAGTGCAAAGTGTGTGCTTTCATGTAGAATCAAAATATAATAGTGATTCTAAGTCAAACATGTTTAATTTGGAGCCCAAAGATTGGATTTGAGGTTGATTTTCTAACTTAGCCATTTTTGCCTAAGTCCTTGAAAATCAGTTATTAAGTTCAATTTTTGGGTATTTATTAAATCAAATTTCATGAATAAAATTGGTACAACTTTTGTTTCATTGCTTGGTAGTATACTTGAGCTATGTTACTGTGTAATTAGTTGAGATGATAGACTAATATTTGTTCACTAATTAAAATGCCAAAGTTTGCTAATCAAAATAGTTTACAAAACCCTAGACCTAATTATAGTTTGGAGTTTCAAAGTGACTGATTTCAAAACTCAAATCTTCAAAACCATTAAGTTTTGGATGTTGGTTCCTTAATCAAAGTTGAAGATCTTTGATCAGGGAACAACTTTGCTTAAGGCCGATCAGTGAGTTGTTTTGCAAAATCGAGAGAACGAGGGAGATGAAGAAGGGAGTTTCAGTCGGTGAATAGTGCCGGGGGAAGCAGGTGCCACGCAGCTGCTCACTGTCGGTGGCCGCCCGTCGCTCCTTTTGGCCGCTGTCGCGCGCGCGGACACGCAGCAGCTTGCGTGGCCGAGCTCAGGCAGCTGCTGGCAGTCGCGGATGCCTCGTCCTCGCCTTTAACTGATCGAGCCACCGGCGTCCCCTCTTTTCCCTTCCTCTACTCACCGCCGGTGATCTCAACGCGACAGCAAAATTCATCTCGCTCGATCGCCCTCCATCCAATTTCTCACTCGCCTAGCAACTCCTCGTCCTTGCGCACCCGCTCGACCCACTCGCACCCCTCTCTCCATCAGTGTCACCCACGAGCGTCGTTCACGCCGCGGCGGCTCGCCATGGCCGCCGTGAGCCGCTCCACCGTGGCCAAAGTCCTTCGGAGCATCTTCCTTCATTCCATCCTTTGTTTAAGCTTCTCCTTGACTCTCTAATTCTCACCATCCCTTTGGTTTTTTAGGGCGCGCACCGGAGCAGCCGAAATGCAACCTCGCCACTGGTCCATGCCACCATCGCCGCTGGCATGCTTATCCGTGTCACCTCCGCTTCAACCCTCTAGCCGAGCATGCTCACGGTGAGCTTCTAGAGCTAACCATGCCCTCTGTGTTACCTCTACCGCGCCGGAGTAACCGAACCGCCGTAGCGCCGCCGTCTGCCATGGCCACAGTTGCGCGCCTGCCTAACCCTAATGGGTTCAATCGATAGGTCGGATAGCTACGTTGGGTCTTAGGGGGCGTGTTGGTGATCTCCCGGTTGACGGAGATTGCCCCGTCGACCATCTCTGTCGCGGCGGTGCGCCGTCGTGCCGCCATGGTCGGCGCCGAGATCGCTTGAGCACCCTTTTCGTTCATCCGGTAGCGTGTCTGAGTGTGGGGGTAGATAGGGATCACGTCGGGGTAGCCGCCATCGCCGGAGACCTCGTCGCCGGCGAGGAAACGACAGTCAATCGCCGGGAACCCGCGGCCATGCGTGGGAGTACTGTTGGGTTGACCCCGGACCCTCCTGTCAGTGTCTGTGTGTAGGGGAGAGTGGAGTGAGAAAAGATTTGTGCGCAGAAAACGATTTATTCTTTTTCCAGAAAATGCTTTTATGTGTTGATTCTTGTATAATTCATAACTAAATATTGGTACATGATAAAAATGTGAAACTTTGTGTGCAGCCTTGTTATGTTATTCTCGACCATGGGAAAATATGAAATGGTCATTTTTAGTAGTTTTTATATGCTTTAAAATTACCTATTTTAATTAATAAATGTACCTTCCATGATTTTTATAGGCTAAAATAATTATGCTTTAATCATTAAACTTTTTGTATATGATTTACATGCTTATATTGGCCTTAACAAAAAGTTTGGTATTATTTTGATAATTATAACTTGGTTAATTAATTTAAGTATGTTTAAATGTCTTTTATGGATTAATAAAAATAACAAATGATTTCTATAAATCCCTAAGTGACTTTGCTGTGATTTTGGACTTGATTGTGGACCTTGGAACACTAAACCCCTGCTGTTCCTTGGCAACTCTTTTACTTCTTTGTTATGCTCATGATTCATTTGTTTGTAATAAATAAATAAGTTTGCTCAAATGACTAATTAGTCGATGCATGTGATTAGGTCATGTAATGAGCCTTGCTGGCCCTCATGGTTAATTTTGATGCAATGTCAGCTAAATACTTTGTCTTGTTTGACTAGGATAATATAATAAGTGTTGCTTCCATGTTAAACAACTAATTAATTTGTTAGTTAAATGATTAAAATGCTTTCATAATAATAACCCTAGTTCTTTGGTGAAGGAAAATTGTACTCAACTTTCTTAACTTTGGTAGACTTCTATTAATGCACTTGTTATGCCTCACATCATGCATCTTGGTATATAGTCCATCATGTTAAGCAAAGCATCATCTATTATGTGTAGTGCATATGAGAGTGAGAAGGCTCGTGTTGATCAAGTTTTGAAG